TACCTCAAGGAGGGGGTGAATGGCGCGGCAGATGCGTCCTCCTATCGCCATGACGATAATGAAGCTCTTTGTCCAGCTGTGTGAATGTGAAGTGTGAAATCTCCGATGACCTCACCATTTCCTATTTATTCTATACTTACCTGAATACACCAAGTACTGCCGCTTTTTAATGCATATGCAAACCGCTAAAATGTCCTTTTGTGAGGCACTTTGCTAAAAGACCGCTTTTGATATGTGTTCTTCAAACTGAATTAGACTGCTTCCTTCTTTTTAAGACACAAGTAACTCACTATTTAGAATCTTTGGCTTTGATTTTGTAGAACAGCCCAACAGGAAGAGACCATGTTCTCTTTTTTTCTCCATATTTCTGAAGGCAAACTTGTACTGATTTGTTTTGATTTACTAACAGAATTATGTTCCTGCCACAGACACAGCCTTCCTTTATGTCCTTTCAGTCATCAGTCTATTTCTGTGGACAAAGTTTTCCCAAGGAAACTGAAATCCCTCTGTTGGCCACTGTGTGCAGAGCGTGGATGTGCGCTTCAGCCAAAGAGGTCATCGGATTTGGGGACAGTAGTTGTTCTTTCTAAGCAGCACATTTCTTGTATGGCTACCACTCAAACCAAGAGACGAAGTGACGTTTTAAAAAGATAGTCAATCAAACTGAGCATCCAGTCTTTTGGGGGTAAAAATGTGTATTTGATGTAAAAGCTCACGTGTTCGAAACTGTAAGCTCTCTGCAATTTTCTTTCGATTGAACTGTGTTTGCCACTCCCTTCCCACTTAGCGGGGGTGGTGTTTTGATGCTAATAGCCAAAAGTTGTCAAATGAGCTGAGCTGGGACAGTTCAACCAGGAGGATTTAAATCCCTTTGTCTCTGTTGTCTTCTTCGCACAAGTGTGGGGTCACCTCTGTCCTCTGAAGAGCACAGTGTGTAACTCAAAGGCACCCTTAGCTTGGCAAGTGGAGTGGTACTGATGACAGCTTCTTGGTTTTCCTCAGAGCAATAGCAGCCAAAAGCAATTGGCTACAGCCTAGACTTCAGAGTAAAAAGGAACAAGCTCTTGTGTGATAGCAGAGCGTTGGTTCACGTTTATACCCGGGACCGTTCAAGATTGTAAGTGAACCTGGGGCAGACGTACGCATCCTCCCTGTGTCTTCGTGTTTACCATGTAAAATCTAAGAAGAGCCCATTTAAATGTTTTACGATCCTTACATAGAAACTAATTCCTATAGCACAACTTTAAAGACATAATTCTAGAGACGTTATGATGTGATCAGTGAATTTAATGAGAGACACACAGGCTGTTCTCCCAAAAGTCTCAGACGGCAAGAAGTAAACTTCAAGGGGCCGGCTGACGGTGTAGTGGTTAAGTTCACAAGTTCTATTTCAGCACCCAGGGTTCGCAGGCTCAGATCCCAGGCGCGGACCTAGCACCACTTGTCAAGTTATGCTGTGGCAGCATCCCACATAAAATAGAGGAAGATTGGCACAGATGTTAGCTCAGCAACAACCTTCCTCAAGCAAAAAGAGGAGGATTGGCAACAGATGTTAGCTCAGGGCCAATCTTCCTCACAAAAAAAAAAAAAAAAGTAAACTTTGAGATAAACCAAAAAGAAGACGCCAGGGTATGTGCTGGAAGTACTTGGACCATATCATGGTATAACACTAAAAATGTGATCCACATATATATTTTCTCTCTGTCTGCTTCCTCTCTTTATAGTTTGAGCATATTGTTAGGAATTCACTCCTGGGCTCATTGATTTGATGATTCTCTATCTCTTTTCAAGGGACAATTAACCACTTTTTAAGGACTTCCATATCAAGTAACTTACATCATGCTTCTTTCTGTTTTTCCCCACAAAAGGGATTTTGTGAAATAGACAGACACAAACGTTCTTTCATATCTCACCATTATCTAAAGCTAAAACTCAAAAACAAGAACAACAGCCACTGGACGAAAGAGAATTGAGAAAGTTTTTGTGTTTTTCAAGTTGTCCAATTTATTACAAACTAAAAATCTCTTCCAAACTGGCACCAAGGTGGCTTTTCTTCTTGAGCTGATTAGGACCACATGAGCTCAGGAAAAGCTGTCAGATCCTGCCTCTGGCACAGCTGGAGTGATCCAACTGATTTGCCAGTATGATTTTTTTTTTTTTTTTAAGAAAGAAGCTTCATCCCAAAGTCATAAATTTATATTCTGGAGCCCCAAGAAAAAATTATTCCTTATTCATATTAAAGGAACCAAAATTCCATTGTGACATCTTTTATGGGATCTCCTGATAAACAAAAGCAACCAGGGCACAATTTTGGTCAACATCTCACACTCTAGTGAGAGCTAACTCCATGCCCTATTGCTGGTATCTAGATTCTTGCTGACACATGGAGGTCTCCACTGCGTTTACCACGGTAAGTTAAGGCACTCAAGTAGCTGCCCGACGCCCCCAAGGAACCCCTTAGGGGTTTCCCTCCTGGTCAGTCCTTTCACAACCACTTCCTCCTGTCAAAAGTGACCCAGCCTGCCTCTCTTTCATGTAGGTCTCCTCTCTTTGCTAGACATCCCTTGGCCTGGGTGGTAAAGAAGGCTGTATTCGTATATTCATGGCCCTAATAAATTTGTATGTATCTTCTCAGGAAACACAGAGGCACTTAATCAGACCCAGAGTCATGCTGCCTTAACTGTCTTTGAGCAAACAAACCTTCCAGCCCCCTTCACAGCGCATACATGGAGCCCACCCGGAAGCACAGGTTTTTCTGGCTTTGCATTTCAGAATTGAGGTTTTGTTTGCTTTTTTGTTTGTTTGTTTTTAAATAAGAGAAAGGAAGGGAAGGTGATCTTTACATTGCTTCTGCAAATTCTCATTTGATTTTACAATTCCTTTCTCACATTGCCCCTTTCTATGCACTGTATCCTAGGGATAATTTTTTTTTTTTTAATTTTGCCTGCCTTTGGTCAAATTCTGGTCCAGAATCCCCAGCCAGACTGGGCTGATCTGGCCTACCATCTCAGTGTTTTCTTCATGTGATTCTAAAAAGGGGCTTCTTAGTCTCCTTGCCTTTGTTAAAAATACTAGACCCATTTGAAATTCTTCTTTATTCCAGATACACAGCAGATAGAATTATACACCAACCACTGATCAGGGTGCTCTAAGTTTTCTCTCTGAAACAGTGGGCAGAATTTTATAACCCACCGTTCTTCTATTAATAGTTAACCAGTTCGAGCGGATCTGAATAAAAGCGCATCTTGTTGCATGCAACAACGGTTTTGACAGAAGAGCTGTACGGCAGAGTCTGTATTTTCCTGCTTTCAGCTTCGCCACGCAGTTTTGTAGGCTGGTAAGCCATGCATGCAGAATGGCAGAACTTACAATCGCCGACAAAAGGAGAGGACAATGCTACCTGTGGAGCCTCGCCACCGACAGACGATGACAGTTCCGGGCCTTAAAAAGAAACTAAACCGTTGAATAGTTTCAGGATAGAACTTGCCACTTCTTGAAGCCCTCATCAAAGCAAGGCTTTTTCAAGCAACTGTTGAGACATAACTACTAAATTTTACAACCATCCATTTAGCGTATTGTGAGCAAAAGGGAAAATGGGAGAAAAGCATTAAAGTTTCTATGTCTATGGATATAATACGTGGAGGTTTGACTTTTGATCACTTTCAGAGCCAGGAAGAGAGGCTCAGACACGACGGGAAGAGCGTCGCAGCCTTAAACATGGCTCTTTTCCAAAGTGACTTCTCTTTACCCATCCACACCCCCCCCAAAAAAATCAAAATGTACTTCATGAAACTATTGTCTATGAAGCACTTATTAGCCGTAATTAAATGGACAATATGAATTTACTACGTCTTTAGGACTCTGGCTTGTTCTGGTTTAGAGCAAGATGATTAATGCAAATACATATTACTTGAGATAACCATTTAGCAGCTAATTTAGCCAAATTTATTACAGCAGTTAGAGGTTTTTCATTTTAGCAGACGGAGACAAGGACATGCCAAAAGTGGGCGACGTGGACGAGTGCACACTGCCCTCTAGTGGCCGCCCAACCGGCGCGCTTTTGGGGGTGTGGAGTGGCCGTGATCGGCAGCCAAGTCTTAACAGCAGGTTCTGCACGTTTCCGGCATCCTTTTAAACCATTCCCATCCATAGCACTTTATTTCAAGGGATGATTTACTGCACCTTCCCCCTTTTACTAGCTCAGGAGTACCCAGATACAAATCAAATCAATTTCACCTTGGCAAGATTTTGGTTAAAGTATCATTTTTAACATCTGCATTTTAAAGCTCTCTTTCAGTGGGTATTTAATGGCACCGTTTCACGTTACTGATTGTTTTTACTTGTTCCTTCATTTGGGGCCATATTTCAGAGTCTGTGTGGAGCTGTCACTCTGTTTGGCTTCAGCCAAGTCAATTCTGTGCCTCCCTTAGGCCAGGGTTTTTCTCTGACTTGGTTGGGGGATTTATTTTGTTCCAACATTCAGTAAAGTCTCATCAGAATTTGCCCTGACTAACCAATGTAAATTTAGTTCATACACGGACTATAAATTCCGTTAGACAAGATCAAAAGGAACAGACGTATAAGGACGCCGTTTGATACTGCTTGCACTGAGGGGAATGATCAAAGACTGGGGGTAAAGCATCTTCGGAGCCATTCAAATATCGAGAATCTCGAAGGGGTCCAACCCATTCACAATATCCACACCGCTTAGGTGTTCTGTGAGTCAACAAGATTTGTATTCCTTCTATTCTTCTTTTCACACCATGGCTGCCCAAAACAGAATCAAGGCTTACTACAAATGCTACTAACCCTCTCCGCTCCACTGAATTGTTGATTTCATTTGTCCTACTAATGGCATCCTACATTAAGCGTCCAGAGGGCCACCCCGGGCTTGGTGTGGGACCTTGCCTTTCTAAGCTTGAGGTTTTGCAGAGATGACAGTCATTTAGTCTCAGGCTTAATACACAATGCCTTCTGTTTTGTTTTGTTTTTTCCCCCAGTGCTGAATAAGGGCCAGTGTGTAACGAAGTACTACCGTTGGATGCAGAAGAACGGAGGATATATTTGGATACAGTCCAGCGCCACCATAGCTATTAATGCCAAGAATGCCAACGAGAAGAATATCATCTGGGTGAATTATCTTCTTAGGTATATTTTCTGATTCTTTTTCATTTCTGTCTTAGGTATAAAATATGCAGCCCGATGGTTAACAGCTGACATGTTGTATTACCTTTTGACAGTATCTCGTGTGGAATTATGTGGAAAGTCTGCTTTTCTTTCCATAAGATTCAAAGAAATGTGAAAAGAGCAAAGCTGTGTTGGAAAGGACTCCGAGGGCAGATTCACAGAATTTTTTATAATTCTTGGTCTCAACCATTTGGGCAGCTCTGCAGAAGTTACTTTGTTTTCCCCAAAAGTGTTCAGGCCAGAAAAAGAAGACAGTTTTGCCTACAGCTGGAGCATTCAAAAAGCACCTCCTTCTCCCTCCCACATGTACTTGTACTCATGCACTCCAATCCTTGTGAAAATGAAGCAAAAGAGGATGGGGAAAAAGTGGCAGGTACATTGTATTCCTCCTGGACTCCATCCCTTTGAAGCTTCAGCATATCATATAGGGTTTGACTCCCTAGGCATCACAGTTTTGGTAAGCAGAGTGAGTTGCTTTGCCAGAATCAAGACAATACCAGTATAGAAATGAAGGCAATCTTCTTTTCCCTGCTGTGATCTCAGGCAAGTTTTACTGCTGTTTTAATGCGTCCTCAAATTTATATCCATAAATGTGGCCAAGCTCAGCGGCTTCCTAAATTCTAGTGTGTGACACCAGTTCTCTCTCCTTCCTTACTTTCTGCCTTTGGAGTCAAACTAGCAAAAAAAGCAACCAAGACCGACAACCTGGGTGGTCTGAGTTTGGGGGCAAGCTTTCTGGGAGGCTCTCCACCAGTCCTGTCCTGAAGCTCTCCGAATGTTCAGTCTGGCTCTCTCTCACCACTGTCATTCCAGTCTTTGGCTTCTCTTGGTCTAAAGCCACCAAGCAGGGCCCACACGTAGTATGAGTAGGAAAACTTCCAATAGGTCTTATGAATGGAAGTTGTTGCCCTTTGGCTGCTAATCTAGACCGAGAGTACCTGAGTCCCATTTTTCTTGGAGACAGCCAAATGGAGCTGAGATGCTGACAGCCATGGCTCATGAGCACACTGGCCCTTCAGAGTGTGTTCACGCGCGTTGGTGATGACTTGACGGCATGAATGTGCTTGCTACCAATAGCATATCAATCAGACTCTAATGATTATTGCTCTAGAGAGGGCCTTAATGTGCACCACTTAAAAGAGTCTTCATTTATCTGCTTTCTTTTTCCCTTTTTGACCTCTTCTACTCTACATTAATTCTCTCTGAAGGTAAAAGTATGTGTGTTTAATGTGGCTTCCTCCAAGGCCTGATTTTCATGCAAACTATCCCCTGTTTGTGATATGCTCAAGATGAGTTCTGATATCAAGAAATCCTTTTACATAGAGGTTTATGGAACAGTGGCTATACGTAATGCAGAAGGTTATGAAAATTCACATGCCGAAAAGGAAATAGCATAAGGTATTGTGGCATTGACATTCTTTTGCTAGGCAAAAATGATGTTGTGCCAAGGAGACCTATTATTTTTTAAAATTAGGCATTGGTAACAGAGACACCAAAGACTAGAAAATGTATCTCAGGTTCATGTACCTAGGGTACTAAAGTAATCTCTATGGCTATTACTCCCATTCAAGGAGATTTCTTCCTATCTGCATCTTTCTTACTGCCTCATCAGCCTCATGACATCCTACTCTGTGCCCAAATGGAGGGAGTGAGAAGGGTTAAGGAGAGGTCAGTCCACGCAACTTTGGATCAACGCTGTTGGTCCAGCCTAGGATCACATGGTACAAGCACATGAGTGTTTGGTGATTCTAGTCCATCTAATTCCACATGGAGAGGAAGGAAGCAGTTTGGGTACCAAAGACCAGTCTTCAGGCTCAGGAGCCTCAATCTCAGATGTGCTGGACCTGTTTCAGCTGACCCAAGGTCTCACTCTGTTCAATAATGAAAGACTGTAAGTTGGGTGACAAGTGATTTGTGAACCCCATGGCATCTGGACCAAAGGAGACTAAGACAGATGGGCTTTAGCAGAGGAAACTCCACCAAGTCTCGCCCTCATTGGTATCACTTCTACAGGCTAGAAATCTACTAAGAAAAGCACTTGGCCTTGGCAAAATAGCAACATTGAAGTTTGTTTCTCTTCCCCACACTTTTGTTCTTTGTTCTTCCCTGAGCAATATATTCATGCTCCCTCTTCCCCCAGAATCCCTCACTTCTGGGCCCCATCCGGGCTTGTCCATCCCCGTTCTGGAATCACTGCTCCCGTAGTCTTCTTCCCATTCCCTCCCAATGCTTGATAGACTTACAGGCTCCTAGAGATTCAGAGACTGCATAAGTGCTAAGGCCACCTTCCCACCACTGGTCTCATCTGATTAGCTAGAGAAAGCTCTGCTGCTGAAGCTAATGCACACTCAGGAGTAAATGCCTGAAACCCATCTCAGTGAATTAACCACCCCAGGGACATCTGCAGTTCTAGGGCAGTCACTGAAACAACGACTCTTTAAGAGAGGCGTTTCACTGGAGATTAGCAATGAGTCAGGAATCACTTCTGGTAAGTCTCTGGTTGGCCAGCCTTCATGGAAGGATAGAAGTGCCATTTGCTATTTGGAGGCAAGAGGCTTTCCTTGTGCCTTCAGATTACAGTAGTCTATTCTGCTCCCACATCAGGCTGGCTTTAGAGTGGCATTTCTAGAAGACATCTAACTCAAACTGACCAAACACACTCTCTTTTCCAGAAAAGGCTTGTTTCTAAATTAAAAATAGAACAAAAATTAAGCACGTTTGTGCAAATGGGGTTCAATCCATTCTGTTAGGGGCTCTGTCACACTGGGACTCTCCCCACTGCAATCAGAGTTCCAGCTAACAAGCCACAGGTGTACACCACATGAGCAGATGAAAATATGATTGTAATGGGTGTGTTGACAGTTCGGTAGCCATAAGCCACGCATCCCAAGGTGCACCTGTGCATCTGTCAGATCGTGAGGCGCTGAGGGCTCTGCCCGCCCCCCCGCAGTACCTTTGGCACTATCTGAACAGCTGAGAAGCTCCATCAAGGGGCCAAGACAAGGGTACTGAGGCAATGGACTCATTAGGAGCCCAGGAGAAGATACGGCACCCCAGGCGGTATGAGAATGAATTGCTGAGAGTACTTCTCATCCTCCCTTCCCCCAGGTGTTATACTGGGAGGAATGTCAAGCAGCACAGGTCCCTGGCCCCCAGTGGGCCCTGATTATTTAAAAGCTTTTTAGTGGCTTTCATGTGGCATTTGGATATTCAATCATTGTAGCAGGGTGCACCTGTCCCCAGCACATGCAATCTCAGCTTCTATAAAAGTCCCATGATGAGCTGAGAAATGATTTCATGCTTAGTCTTTTAAATTCTCTAAACTTCAAAAGTTTGGGCCAAGGGAGTGGGAAAAAGAGGGTCCAAAGCAAACCATACAGAACGGGTGTGTGCACTCCTGATGAATGCCTCCCTCCCACAGCAATCCCGAGTACAAGGACACACCCATGGACATCGCGCAGCTCCCCCACCTGCCAGAGAAAACGTCGGAATCCTCGGAGACATCCGACTCCGAATCCGACTCTAAAGACACCTCAGGTATTACAGGTATTACCACTTCTCCATGTTCTGCAGTAGTGGCTTACCTTCCCCAGCACGAGGGGCGGGCAGCGGCCAGAGGGCCGTGGTCAGAGCAAAGCAACCGGTCAGGTTTTATAGAGAGATACATGTCACATCAAGTTACCTGAGTTTCTCTCTGTACATATGTATATATACTTATATACCACCACACACATGTATGTGTGTATAGACATACAATATCTACATATATGTATGTGGTAGCATACAAATATATACAGGCATGTATACGTGGTAGTGTATAAATATATACGTATATGTATGTTGTGGTATATATTTATACACATGTAGGCATAGGTATTTCATGGTATATAAATCTATGTACATAAAGATACAGAGAGAGATTGATTGATGTAGTCATCACTCAATGGCAGCCCTCCACAGCCACACAGAAGGAGCCCGGCCCTAACCCCATAGGCAGCTCGGGCTCTCTCTGCTGCTTCAAGTCAGACTGTGACTTTGAGCCCCAAATAGTCACATCCTCACCAAGCCGGATTGCGCCTCTAAAGTGGGATCCTTAATGGCATCGGTAAATGATTCTTTCAGATGCTGGACTGTTATTATTTTCTGAATCTATGCAGAACAAATCCATGCTTTCTCATTTCTAGTTATTTTGGGAAGTAGACTTTCTGAGTAGTTTTGGGGGCAGAAGAAAGTTAATACAAAAATTTACTTTTCTTCCAATCCCCAACCCCCTTCCACATATAGAGCCAGGGAGCACAGAACTCAGAGAATTTTATAGCTGCAAAACCCCTCAGCCTCTTCTTACCCAGCCTGCTCTGCTCTGGAAACGAAGGCCAGAGCAGTGACATGACTTGCCCGAAGATCTAGTCCAGGCTGCCATGCAAAAGCATCACATCACAGAGCCGTAAAAGCAGCAGCATCCCTCAGTCTTCTGGGGCTGTATTACTGGGCAAATCTGTTCTCCCTAAAATGTGTGGGATGGCTAGGGCTCCCCCAGCCCCCACCCTCAGGGCACCAGCCCACAAGACTTATTAACACACATCCCTCCACTCCAGACACAGGGGCATGAGGCAGAACAAAGGATCTTGATTGTTTTCCTGTCTCCTAAATTGCATTCATTTGAAAGTTCTCCACTAGGGCAGAAGTTCTAGAACAGACAGTCTCTGCTCCCTATTTATATAGTACATAGCAGTAGACAAAAAAGAAATGCCCTGCCTTGTGGAGCTTATATTCTAGTTGGAGGAAGAGACAGAAGTAAATAAAAATAAATAAAACATACAGTGAATCAGATAGTGGTAAGCGCTGTAGAGAAAAATAACTTTAGGAACAGAGTGTGGTTTTCGTAATGAACAAATATTCACCAGTGGGAGGCACAGACCTCTTTAGAAAGTCGCCTTGCATACCATCATTTCTGTGTGTCACTAACACCTTATTCCAGGTTATTTCCTGACTCCCAGTATTTTTGCAGGATTTCCCAAACGTTTATGTGCCTAATTATCACCTGGATTCCTAATTAGGATCATCTGGTTCAAATGGGATCCGATACATAGGTCTGGGGGGAAGGCTGGGATTCTGGATTTATAACAAGCGTCCAGATGATGCCAGTGCTGCTGGTCCCTGGACCACACTTTGAGTAAAGGCCCTGCTAATCTAAGCCCCCAAGAGAGCGACAGCCCAGGCTTTAAGTTACCAGGGTGGTGGAGAAGCTTAGGATGGGGCGAGCCCCCGCCCCGCCTCCCCAGCAGGTGAGGGGGGATCTGGCCCTGCTAATGTGGTGTCTCCTGTGTCTCCTCTCCCCGCCCCCACCCCCGCCGCCCCGGCCGCCGGCCCCACGCAGAGGACAACGAGAACTCCAAGTCGGACGAGAAGGGGAACCAGTCTGAGAACAGCGAAGACCCGGAGCCCGACCGGAAGAAGTCGGGCAGCACGTGCGACAACGACATGAACTGCAACGACGAGGGCCACAGCTCCAGCAACCCCGACAGCCGCGACAGCGACGACAGCTTCGAGCACTCGGACTTTGAGAACCCCAAGGCGGGCGAGGACGGCTTCGGCGCGCTGGGCCCCATGCAGATCAAGGTGGAGCGCTACGTGGAGAGCGAGTCGGACCTGCGGCTGCAGAACTGCGAGTCGCTCACGTCGGACAGCGCCAAGGACTCGGACAGCGCGGCCGAGGCGGGCGCGCAGGCCTCCAGCAAGCACCAGAAGCGCAAGAAGCGGCGGAAACGGCAGAAGGGCGGCAGCGCCAGCCGCCGGCGCCTGTCCAGCGCGTCGAGCCCCGGCGGCCTGGACGCGGGCCTGGTGGAGCCCCCGCGGCTGCTGTCCTCCCCCAACAGTGCCTCGGTGCTCAAGATCAAGACGGAGATCTCGGAACCCATCAACTTCGACAACGACAGCAGCATCTGGAACTACCCGCCCAACCGGGAGATCTCCAGGAACGAGTCTCCCTACAGCATGACCAAGCCCCCCAGCTCCGAGCACTTCCCGTCCCCGCAGGGCGGCGGCGGCAGCAGCGGCGGTGGCGGCGGCGGCGGCGGGGGGCTGCACGTGGCCATCCCCGACTCGGTCCTCACCCCGCCAGGCGCCGATGGCGCCGCCGCCCGCAAGACTCAGTTCAGCGCCTCGGCCACCGCGGCCCTGGCCCCCGTCGCCTCCGACCCGCTGTCGCCCCCGCTCTCGGCGTCCCCGCGGGACAAGCACCCCGGGAGCGGCGGCGGCGGCAGCAGCGGCCCCAGCGCGTCCAACTCCTTGCTGTACACTGGGGACCTGGAGGCGCTGCAGAGGTTGCAGGCGGGCAACGTCGTGCTCCCCCTGGTGCACAGGGTGACCGGGACCCTGGCGGCCACCAGCACGGCCGCGCAGAGGGTCTACACCACGGGCACCATCCGCTACGCGCCCGCCGAGGTGACCCTGGCCATGCAGGGCAACCTGCTGCCCAACGCGCACGCTGTTAACTTCGTGGACGTTAACAGCCCCGGCTTCGGCCTCGACCCCAAGACGCCCATGGAGATGCTCTACCACCACGTGCACCGGCTCAACATGTCGGGACCGTTCGGCGGCGCCGTGAGCGCCGCCAGCCTGACGCAGATGCCCGCCGGCAACGTGTTCACCACGGCCGAGGGACTCTTCTCCACGCTGCCCTTCCCCGTCTACAGCAACGGCATCCACGCGGCACAGACTCTGGAGCGCAAGGAGGACTGAGCGCCCCCAGCGCGGGGCGGGTTCCGCTCGCGGGAGGCATCGTCGGCGTTTTCGTTTAGACCTTTAATTCTAGCACTTTGAATTCGAGCAGGTCAGCGTCTTCTCTCCACACGGCGGTCCCCATTCCATCCCCTCTTTCTTTAACTTGACTTATTCTTTCCTGTAAAGATGTTTATTTTTTGCCTTCAGAGGGTCAGATGACCAAGTTGCCTGCCATTTTGTCTTCTTCTGAGATGTGTGTTGGGTTGTTTTGCTTTCCTTTGCATCTTTATTAAGATGTCTTTAATGTGTATATGCCTCTGCCATAGAATACTCAGTCTTGTGGTCAACAGATTGCTCAAGTGACAACCATTGGGTTTTCTTCATAAAGATCTTGATGTGATCAAGATTGAAAGAGACAAGCATAAACAATGTGCCCTGTTTGACTAAGTCAAATGAAATGGGGTGGTTTTTTGTTTTTGTTCCTAATTCCTTTAAAAATAGGGGGATAGTATTTTAGAATTTTATGCAGAATTTAATTCTCTTTTTATGGTTAAGATTTTAAGATTTTCTTACTTGCACATAAAAATAATTTGGGTTCTTAAACTTAATTTCTGGCCTGTGACTAGAATGTTTAAAAAAAAAAAAGTTGGACTAAATGTTAATTACTGAAACATTAACTTAATTTCTAAAACCATGGTGCTATCATTTATTAATCTGTGTTGTCTTCATACAAAATGCAGCTCCTGGGCTGGGTTTTGGGGAAAAAAATGTGTTCTGTCCTGGTCTGGAGTCCGTTGCTGCAGTCTCCTTGGTTAGTTAAGAGAAAGCCCTCATTAACGTTTGCTGCAGGACTTAAAATGTTTTACCTCCCAACTAACAAACATAGCCTCACATTAAATTTAATGGGTCAGTAAAGCCCTTTTTAAAGGGGCTTTTGGAAAACTCAATCAAACTGATCTGAGGAGCAGTTTAGGTACATACTGCATTTAGTTGAGCTTTTTTTTTTTTCCTTTTCTCAGTCTAACTGAGGCTAATTTTTGCAACTTCAATAACACTTCAGAGTAAAAGAAGGAAAAAAATATTTAACGTGTTTTTGATTTTTTTCATTTCTTGCTAAAAAAGGTTGTATTTGGGGGACTGATTTGATTTGATGGCGTTTTTTTTTTCCCTTTGGTTCTCTTACTTCTAGGTCGAAACCAGTAAGGTTTAAAACTAAAGAATGGGTTAATAAGCTTCAAACAGATAACTGCAACAGAAAACCGCACATTAAGTAAAAAAAAAAAAAAAGAAAAAGAAAAAGAAAAAAATATCCTATTTTGTCTTTGTTGCCAGAAATCAGTGTAGTGTCAGACACTCCAAATGACTGTCAAGTATAAATTCTTCTTCCACTCCATTTTTGGCAGCTGTTTGTTAAGGCATCTAATAACAGATGTGAGAACTGTAATGTGTGCAATGTGTACGTGTCCTTGGCTGTCAGTCCCATCGCAGTTTCCATGTGTGTTTCTATATGCAGTATATACTAAGCTAATGTAGTTGTTTTGTCTTTTGTCTTCTCTGTGCTCGATCTCTAGTCCGGAGTGGTACAGTCCCATTCCTGCAGTCCTAGTGAATCAGTGATTCTTGGGGGTTAGTGATTTTTGTGTGGTGGCCTTCCTCTGTAATGTCACCCTATGCTGCTTCTACTGTCTGTGAATCTTCCGTTTCACTTTTTAAAATTCCTGCTGTTGCTTTGCTGGTGTATATTCTCCCGACCTCTCCTTTCTTTCCTGCCCCCTCTCGTCTCCCCTTTTCCCTCCTCATCTCTCCCTCTCCCCTCTTCTCCAAAACCTTTTTCATTCTCAGAGATAAAAAGACTCTTAACTAGCTCAAGGTTAATGGAGCCATTTTTCCCACAATGGAATTCTGGGTATGACTCTTTCTTCTGGAGTGCGACACAAGCACTGAAGAATAACGCTCAGATCTATTCAATAAATTGATGCCATATAGCCTCAGTGGTTCACATTCCCAGAGTCCCTTGTGCTCTACCTAAAAGCAGTGGGTGCTTTTCTTTGGTTTCCTTCCAGGTTGGCTGATGGAGCAATATATAAAGCAATTACCAGTGAGACAGAAAATTATTTCAAAGGCCAACCGACATTTTTTAAAAACAAAAGGGGAGGGGGTAATGGAATATAGAATTGTCGTATATTATTTGTGTATGCGTGCAATGCTAATCTAGTAACTCGGCTGTCCTTTGAACATCACTGTGTTGAGTGGATTCCTCTACGACCTTTGATTCCATGAGTTGGACCCAAACCACCGTGGAATACTAACGAAAAGAAGAGAAATGCCACAAATGGTAATAGTGAGCTTACTTGAAGGATTTCAGTAGGTTTAGAAGGTGAAGAAGGCCAATCAAGAAATTTAAAGATTAATTTTGGAAGCTCTACTCTAGCTATCGAACAATCAAAGGAATGCACCTATCAGCTGCAAAGAACAGCTAGACAGCTGGTTTTTTTTTTCTTTTATAAATGTTTCTGTGTTGTGTCAAAATGATTTCTGGTGATTTAAACTAACAGATAATCACAGCTGCTGTCTAAATCCATAGTGTTTAAAATTACAAAATGAAAAAAAAAACACTTCATTACCTGTGAAGACTGTGTCTGTGTTTTTAACTATTTCTTGTACAAATATATGAAAACTTTTATGAGGAGACTGGTGCCAAGTAGCTGAATAATGGGGAAAGGGATATTCTGTTCGTAAAAATCTTAGCAGTGTTACCAACTCTACAGTATATATATAAAAAAAATTAAAACGTTACAAAGCGACAGCTATGGTACATTTGTTTTGTGTGAAGCTAACCGGACCTAACTTCCTGAGTGCCTGGCTTATTTTGAAACATTTTTTTCATTGACCATTGATAATGCTGCAAATCAGAAATGTACATACTTCATTTACAACAGGGTTCTTTTTATACTTTTGTAGATTCTCATACATGTCACATACATGGTTGTCTTTATGTAACTTAATTTTTTCATCTGCAGGTGCCATTTTCATAATAAACTTCTCTTGGATTTGTTACTATCTGGCATCATTTCTTTTACATGTAACCATCCTAACTAATGAATGCTGGTAGTATTTGTTTAAGCAGGTACCTTGGTCATTATTCTTGATTTAAAAAAAAAAAAGATGCATCCATATTTTTGCTAGTTTTGGAAAAAAATGCATAGCTTGTGTACTGATGAGGCTGACAAGGCACAGATTAAGATGCTAATCCAAATACTACACCAAACTTGCAACCATCCTAAATTTTCAGCTACCCCAACTCATTGTCATACTGAGCATTATTATGCACATTATCAAAGCTGAACAATGGGCCTGCAACATTAACCACTATGGGCAGTGTGCATTTTTTCTTGATTAATGCACAGTAAGTGATGACAGTTTTCATACATTAATCATTTAAAATGCACTCAGTATTTTCATTTATTACAATCTATAGTGTATAACCAACTGTTCCATTGCTTTTATCTTCTCTTTTTACTAAATACGTATTTTCTTTCTCCAGATAAGCCGAGTAAGTCATGGTTGTGCTGTGTTCTTGGGTAAGTCAGCACGAAGCCTGTCACATTTTAAGGCAGGTCAGGGGGCTAACCGCCCCCCTCCCCCAAAAAAAGAAAATGAAAACTTCAGCTGCTATCTCAAAATTAAGGATACAGACGGGTCACCTCTTAAGTCTATACTCTCCAGAAAATGAAGAGATATGAATGAGTTGAGCTGAAAGAAAAGCACTTTCGTCCAAAAGCGACCAACTGTAGTGCCAATCTCTCCCTAGTTTAAGTCTTCAGCGACATCTGCCAGTTTGAGGGTACTTTTCATTAATGGAAGATTGTTTCAGCCTGGTGGATATGGAAATGTGGTTATGGATGTAGGGCCCTAGCTCTCTCTGCTGTGCCCTTTATGGGTCCTTGAAATAAGTAGTTAAAAATTGGAATTGGGGAGAGGGTGATTGAGAATACAGGATTGGGTTCTCCCAACTACTCTTCTGAAATTTATCTTTCCCTTTGCTCTCGAGAGTCAGAAGAATATAGTACAGCAAGGTTGAGAAGTGAAAAATATTGATGAAGCTAGAAATGTAATCCTGACCAGATGCCAGTGAGTGCTGAAGCTGGCTTACCCAAGGCTCTCTGCCCATGGGTGCTGGTGGGGCTGGCACTTAGTGGTGGCTTCCAGAGCTTTGCCTGGGGGAGGGTCTACCAAGGCAGGGGGGCAATTGTATGAGTGTCGGATTAGGACTGAGCCTCTGTCGGCTGGATGACAATATTAGCCATAACTTTACTTCTGGACATCCCTTCAGCCCTGTGTTCTGGAGGGCTGGCAATGGGGGTTGAAAAGGGGAAGCCACACATGGTGATGGTTAATTGGAATCCTCATAGTATCTGGAGCTTCCACAGTAGAAGTGGAAGAAGTTCTGGATTCTTATCCAAGCTCAAGCCTCCCTTGGGCTCAAGTTCCCTGTCCTTTATTTATACCCCTCAGTGCTAAAATATGTCATTAATGAAATAAAGAACACATCTCAGCCAGAAGGAGAGCGAGTGAGCTCTGGGCTCAGACCCACGGACCATCCGGAAGCCCTGCCACTTCCGCAGCCCCAGGGCTGGCAGCCAAGCCAGGGCCCTGGGCTCCCCAGAGGCACAGCACCTCCACTTGCCAGCTGGCAGCAAGTCACTTTGTCAAGGCTCCAGTTGCAGGTGATGGACAGACCAGGGGTCAGCAGCCAGCTCACCACACCCTTCCTCTTCTCCTTCTTAGTGATGCTGATATTTGCTTATTTGGCAATGAGGAACAAGGGGGAAGAAACTTTTAATAAAGCAGCAGGCAGGACAAGAGAGAAGATATGCATTCAGCTGAGCATAAAGAAAGTGGTTGTAGTCCTTGTGGACTATAATTCTTACTCGTCTTCGCCTACTCCTAGACAAAGCCTGTTTATGTTGAACATGTTTAAAACTATTCGAAATCCACTTGGGCTATGCATTGCATTGAAAGTTAGAGATAATGTATATTATCAAGCCCAGAAGATAGTGTGTTCAAGCAAAGAAGATTGTTATCCAGGTTCAAAAAGTAGAAACAGTGAAGGGTTTGGGAGAGAAGGAAGAATATTTTTGCCAGTGCTTCATATCATGTATTGAAAGGACAAACCTTGTTCTTGAGCATAATTCCCAAAGAATGATGACATTAGCAGGCTTATGAAACAATCCTGGGACACTATGGTAAGTGAACACCCTTAGCTGCTCCTGCTTTCCTGTACCTCCTTTTGTACCATTATAAAGAAGGGGAGGACTCCCCACGGGCACAAATCATGGCTTGTTCCCCTTTATGTCCCCCCCATACTGCCCAGCTCAATGATTTACCAGTAGTCTTTCTCAGTAAAGATCTGTTGAATACTGACAGATGAGGACATGTGAAAACATGAAAATGAAATATGGCTTGTCAAGAGGCAGAGATTCCACTTGAAACGTCCACGTGGTTTGGCAGGATAGCCTGAGTTTTCATAAAGAAAGGAATGCCAAAACAGATAAAGCAGCAAGTTCATTCATTCCTGCCTTCTTGGATAGTCCATATGGCTGGCACAGAGTTGGTCATTGATAAATGTTGGCTGGAGGAAGTGTGTCTATGTCCACAGTACCATCTATTCTGTCTATGGCAACAAATTAGGTAAAGCAAATAGAGAAAGGAGGAAGAAGAAAGAATCCAAACAGTTGGTAACTGACTTAGTAACTCTGGCGTCATATCCCACAGACACCTAAGCAAATGGCTCTTAGATTCATAAGAAGGTATCATTTAATGGTGTGTCCTCACAGATGAGCATTGAGCTGTATAAACTCAGTTGTCATCCAGAGAATCTTAGCAACCAAGAGGGACTCTCTCATGTAGAAATCACATGTCCTTCATTCTAGCGGTGAGGGTCTTTCTAGTCCATTATTGGATAGTTATTATTTTTAGAAGGTGTTGAACTGAAATCTCACCTCTGGAGTTAAATGGCCTAGATCTAAACCTTCTTCCATTCGAGTGGCTTTCAAATATGTGAAGATGGATGTCAGAGTTTCAGTAAATCTCTAGGCTGTCATTTATTCTTTCCATTGTTCCTCCAATGGCATTGTAGCAGATCCCTTGACCATCCTAGTCACCTTCATCTCAGTGCACCAGAAATTTTTAAGGTCCCTGTATTGATACCCTAGGGCGGCCTTATTACCAAAAACTGGAAACACCAAAAATTTATTCTCTCACAGTTCTGGAGACTAGAAGTCTGAATCAAGGTGATTAGCAAGGTTGGTTCCTTCTAGAAGGCTCTGAGGAAGAGTTTGTTCCATGTTTCTCTCCTAGCTTGTGGTGGTTACCAACAATCCTTGGCATTCCTTGGTGCATCACTCTGATCTCTGCCTCCATCATCCTATGGCCATCTTCTCCCTGTGTGTCTCTGTGTCTTCAAATGGAGTTCTCCCCACTGCATGTGCTCTCCTCTTCTAATAAGGAGACCAGTCATATTGGATTAAGAGCCCACCCTACTCCAGTATGACCTTATCTTAACTTATTACTGCACTGACCCTACCATGAGAAGGAAATGGAATTATGGTCACATGCTGAGGTATTGTGGGTTAAGACTTCAACTTTTTGGAGGACACAATTAAACCCATAAGAGACCCTATTAAAACATGGTGCTCTGCCCCAGTCACATAGCTTGGGATGTGATGTGATGCCTGCAGGAGAGAGAAGTCACGTTACATCTCTTGCTCAGGACTCTGAGCCTGAGTCTGTAGTCACTTCTTTGCAGCCAGATCAAATTGTTATCTCATCTTGAGCCTCTAGTCAACCTAAACTCCTTTATCTTCTCTCAAGTTGTCATAAGGTAGGTCTCCCACCTCCTATATGTATGCAACCTTCATGTAATGCTGGCATGTGCTTGGGTGGAAAGCAATTTAAGGAGAGAAGTTCACTAGGCATGGAAGGTGAGCCAGAGGCTGTCCCTGTGAAAACCCATTTCTCATTTTCATTGAGCTTTGCATGCCCTCTGAGTCTTCTTCACCCAGCCCTGCTGGAAAGGAGAAACCTGACCCCAGGACTTGTGGAACCCTGGGGTAAAGGCACATGATGCACCCGTGACAATCACTCCCAGTGGGCTACTCCATTGTAAGTAAATGGATGCAGGGGAAAAATGGCTATGAGAAGGAAATGGAAAGAATGAGAGAGAGAAACTACCATATCAGCCACTTTACAGGAGCAGAACTGGGGTAAGAGATGTCAAGACTCTTGAGACATGCGTATGAAATCAGCCACTCAAAATTCAAGCGAGTCATGAGGCCAAACTCATCAACTTTCTGAAAATGAGGCCTCCTTTTGTCCCCTTTTATGGATCAAAATTAAAGAGATTAGTGTAAGATTGTCTTGTACTTTTCTAGGGACAAAACACGATTGTTTTTCCTTCTTCTATCCGTCTCTCTCTCTCTACTTGGCAGTCATGAGATACACCAATAGGAATGACCCAGATAATGTTCCTATGTTGAAAGAATTTTTCTAGATAAATAAAATTAAGTTTAGTTTTAAAAATATGTACAAATTATTAAAGCCACTTTAAGAAAAAAAAAAAGGAACAGAGGGTAAGGAGTTGGTTCTTCCTTGTACTGAAGGAGTTCTCAGATTTATAGCGGAAGTGTCAGAAATAGGATGTAATATCCATGGGACCCCCCCACCTCCCCCAAACAAAACCATTATACCCTTGATGAATTATTGACTTTAGAGTTTTATCTATGCCATGAATAATCACAAACTTGGGAGTCTCAGGGCACAGTTCATAAACAAATAATTATATCACAATGATAATTTTTCAGGAATTACAACATCAATCATGGCCATGTTATTATCAAGTACATTTTCTGGTTGCCTCTATTCATCAAACCCTCCTCCCTCTCCACCCTTCCACACCACACAAGCAAAACTCATCACCAGATTGCCTCTTATTTACACATCACTCAAAGCAGGACAGAGCAGGCACACACAAAATGGGCCAACCCAGCGTTTATGAG